TTTAAATATGAACATACTTATAATGCAATTATAAAATACAATAAATTTAAATATGAACATACTTATAATGCAATTATAAAATGTATAAGTTTGAAAAAGCTTTTTCCAAGTATTTTTTTTTTCTTAATGAAAGTACAATGTGCTGAATTTAAATTGTTTTTGTATTTGCTATCATTATGTGATACAGGTTTACAGATTAACTTGCACTAATTACATTCAGACGGCTAGGAATAAACCTTAGCTCCAGCTGCCTAGGTGTTGTTCATATATGCATAGCATGTATATCAACCCTTGTTCTAGTTGCCTAGGTGTTGTTCATATGTGCAATGCATGTATATCAACCCTTGTTCTAGTTGCCTAGGTGTTGTTCATATGTGCATTGCATGTATATCAACCCTTGTTCTAGTTGCCTAGGTGTTGTTCATATGTGCATTGCATGTATATCAACCCTTGTTCTAGTTGCCTAGGTGTTGTTCATATGTGCATTGCGTGTACATCAACCCTTGTTCTCATTGCCTAGGTGTTGTTCATATGTGCATTGCGTGTACATCAACCCTTGTTCTCGTTGCCTAGGTGTTGTTCATATGTGCATTGCGTGTACATCAACCCTTGTTCTAGTTGCCTAGGTGTTGTTCATATGACATTGTGTGTACATCAACCCTTGTTCTAGTTGCCTAGGTGTTGTTCATATGTGCATTGCGTGTACATCAACCCATGTTCTAGTTGCCTAGGTGTTGTTCATATGTGCATTGCGTGTACATCAACCCTTGTTCTAGCTGCCTAGGTGTTGTTCATATATGCATAGCATGTATATCAACCCTTGTTCTAGTTGCCTAGGTGTTGTTCATATGTGCCTAGCTGCCTAGGTGTTCATATGTGCATTGCATGTATATCCTAACTGTCTAGGATGTTACAGCTGCCTAGGTGCTGTTTATATGTACATAACATACATATCTTAAGATCCTGTCATAAGTGTATTAATTGTTATAACAAATATACAGCTTTAAAGATTCTTACCCAGTAGTAATTTTTTAATAAAAATGGTGTTCTTTGTGTAACCTATCAAAGAAAAAGGAGAAAATTATGACATCTACTGATTTCATGAATATGAATGTGAGTATGGTCATAGGTCACCTTACTTCTTATTCATAAATGGTCGCCAAGATCTTGTTGAGAATGAGAGAACCATGTGACTTGTTTTGTCCCCCATTCCAAACAGTCTCTATTGCCAACACATCCACTGTTCCCCTGACCATGATAATTGGACCAGAGATGCAATGGCGAATGGAACATTATTTAGAAGACAAAAACAAGTCACATCCCTCTAAGCAAGATCTCTGCAACCATTTGGGAATAAAATCTATTTGCACAGATCATGTTAATAGCACATGGTACAACAGTTGTCAACATCAACATTGATAGGTTTCAGATGCATGTTTTCAGATTGGGCAGAGTGTAAGCTGTTCGAAACGATACCTGCGGGAAGTGAGTTTTCAAGATTCTTCATGCAACTACCAATTACGAATATGCTCCGTTAATAATATTCATTAAAATAATTGTGAATGAGATGCATACTGGATATAGCTACAACACTCGCACAATATCTTGCATTAATTTCGAGATAACAATTTTTGATACAATAATTTGAAAGTTAGTCTGCTGCCAATCAGTACGTATTGTTTACATTGCATATGATTTATCACTAAAGACAACTTTAATTTGTTTTTTCACAAAATAAAAACCTAAATAATTTTTTTCGAATTTTTTCAAATAAATTTATTCAAGAAGATTGTTCACAAAGTTGCCCTAAAATTTGGGGAAAATGTGATAGACTCAAAGAATTGCATTACCTGTGATTTTGTTTGTTTCTCTTTTACAGTGATTCTAACTGGGTTTCTCAGCCCAGCACGGATCAGTTTCTCAACTTCGTCAGTCTGTGTTGCCGAAAATAAACCAGTCCGTCTTTGTTTTGGCATATAACTTAATATTTCATTAATACTGAAACAGAAACATTTTGACTGTGAAATCTACAATCAAAAGGCGGTGACCGAGTGCATTCAAACCTTGTATAAATAAAAAATACATTTCACCCATATTCGTATACGTTGCTATGTGTAGTATGGGACACACACAGCATAGAAGATCTACACTTTTTAATAGAAATTAACTATTGCACCTCTCAGAGAATAAAGCTACAATCAAATGAAATGAAAACGTGAACTGAGAATCAGCATATGTACGCAAAACTCTAGTAATATTACTTGAGAGTTCCATATAAAGTATTGCTATCAGAATTCTCCACAATCTAATATAGCCAATGAGAGGTCGAATTTGCATGAATTTGCATATTAAGTTGTCTATAATATTCTATTATTTATCTGCAAGGATATTTCACGTCACAAACTGTATACAAATTTAATTGATATGTTAAACAGATGAATATTATAATTTGCAGTCTTGAAATGTTACGCAATGCTCAGTTCAATGTCCATGATTTAGATGTTCTCAAAAGAATTTGTAATCATGAAATGCACATGAATGGAAACCCATATGTTCGATCCACAAGGAAAAAGTAAATGAAATAATTGCTTTATATTCAACGAAGGGAATATACAAAGTGATTTGTCAAAATAAAATAAACCATAAAAAACAGTTGTATATTTGGCATCAGTACTCAACTGTGCTGATTATACAATGGTCAGCTTCGGTATGGTACATTTTGTAAAGCTGAGTTGTATTATTAATTAACTGAAACATTTGAAAGTTTTTAATTTATGTCAAAAAATAAGCCATCAACCGAATTTATTAGCTATGGCCTTCACAACTTATACGGTATCAGTCTCAGAAACCTGACAACTAAAACTCTTCAGTGCAGTTCAAATCCTGCCTCGGAACAAGCTCAATTCAAATAAATAATCCAGAAGTATGAAATGCTCCAGTCTCAAAGTTCATTTGAAACACAATAGTATTAAACAAATGTTAAAAGTAACTTACTGTAAAATACTTTATTTTAGCTGGAATCAATTTTCGCTAAAACGACTTTTTTTGTGTTTTGTATGAAAATTATTTTCACTTATTGAAAATATGGTAAAAATGTATATTCCTGCATCAAAAATAGTGAAAATGAAGTATATTATTGTTCTTAAGTTAGAAGAAAGGGACCTAAAGGTATTCTAAAAAAATTTTTAAGAGGCAGATGTTCATTGCAAACTTTTCTGAGAAGAATGCTTCACATCAAATTTTGATTAATTTAAAGATATCTTGCAAATATATATCGGTAATAATTATTGCATTTAATACATGGCATATGCTACTCCATGGGTCAAAAGCTACGATTGAAATATATCCCATAATACAACACTGTGTCTATTATAGATGCATACCTGTTTTCAAATCCTAAGTCTAGTAGTTTGTCTGCTTCATCCAACACCAATACTTCCAAAGTTCGTACATAAGATGCCAAATCTATACCATCCTGCTTTCGATGGAATAAATCTACCAACCGACCGGGAGTTGCGGTTATTATATTACCACTGCAACAAAATAAAACAGGGTTCATAAGTAAAAGCTCATTTACTAACTGTCACACTGAACTACTGAGTCTTTTCATAATGTCCATGTTTTACACTTGGCTCTTGAGGATTATCCCTGGACTAAGACTCATAATGACAATAGTTCACAATGGACTAAAGAACCTTTTCAAATTGACAATGTTTCACACTAGGCTAAAGGGTCTTTTCAAATTGTCAATGTTTCACAATGAACTAAAGGTTCTTTTTAAATTGTCAATGTTCTATTGCACTAAATAGGCCATCAACTGAAAGACTTGTGAAAGTGATTACTGCAAGAATACAAGGCATAATTATACACCCTTTATATAAAATATGTTTTTGAAATTCAGTTCCTCGCCCCCTTGTCTATTATCGCCGATTTGTTGCTGGAGTAATTTACATCGTAAATTTTGGTTCCCTGAGCATCTCTAATAAATAACCTATCTAACCGCTGGACTGAATTAATGATATTATCAAAAATTTAGAGAAGATTTGGCAAAATCGGTCGTTTTTGGCATCTACGTATTTTTGCTCCGTAGCGCAAGGGCGATAAGACTTGATTTTCAAGGACACAGGTAGTTTGGATCAGACAGTTTCTTTTGTTCCAAGTTCGTTGTGAGTCTAGAAACATAACAATATTGTTTTTTAGGGAATATAGAGTAAGTTCTGTTTCGGGCAATTTTACCAATTTCTTACTGGAGCATCCCCTGTATAAATAGTCCTCTACTCTCCAAAAATTGACAATGGTACTAGCCTAGAATGGACTTCTTGTTCAGCGCGTATGATTGTAGCACTGTTTACGCCACTGTACAAGAATACGCACACTCGCGAATTTGACAACATTCACTTGAGCGTTTTAGGATAGTGGGAATAGAAGCAAATAGATGGAAATCCAGTTACATCACTCGTGAAGATTGATGATTCGATTGCTGGCCGGGATATATGTATTTAGTGTTTATTTCTATGCAATATGACTACACTTGCGATTCTTAATTTCGATGTGTAAAATCATATCGCTGCTGTGGACGGCGACAGCTGACAGATTGTTTTGGTTCTGCGGCTCTCTTGGCATGGGCAACTGATTTTTATGTTTCTTTTTTCAATATTCTGATGTTTACTTGGTTGTATTTTATATATACCAGTCAGACACTGACAACAAGTAAAAGAAGAACGGAGAACGCGTCATTGTACAACATTAATGAACGAAATTTACATTACGATCTCGTGCTTCCGAATAATCCAATATTTATGCTGGAGAACAAAGTATACAAGTACTGTCTATGATATACTGCTCAGTGGAAATAATATACCTATTTTACCGTTGTTACAACACAAAACAAACAACTGACAACAATCGACAAAACGAAAAACTGCTGAGTACACTACACAGTCACTGTAGTCACACCAGTAAGAAAAAGATACTGTGGAACTCATTGCAAATGTAAATACAGAATAAATGTCAGTTTGCAGCCTCCATGGACAAGTTCACAACCTCTAATATTGCAAAACTGTCAGTTGTGAACTGAACTTTAAATCTCATCAGGATTTCCACATGAAGTTACACAGATAAAAAAAAGCGCAATATTAAGACAAGGAAAAATAATGCTTTTTTCTCAAGGCTATATATTAAATTCTCTTATTTTTTGGTGTACATGTATGCATTAAAATTATCAAAACTGTAAAGATAAACAAAATTATCGAGTGATTTTGGATTTGTTGGAAAAGTAGCCGAAATGCTGTGACATTGTCTATTTGGTGGTGGGAATTACCAAGCCAGTTTATAAAATAGTGAACAAACATGTTCATAAATATTACTGACCGTGAAAGACGCCTATCGCGAAATGTCTTGTTTGAAACATGAAAAATAATACTGTCAAGAAACAAGCTGCTCTCTGATTGGTCTGAATGTAAGGTGTTTTGGTAGCCAATCAGGCAGAATCTTGTAAGTAGCTTTGTATAGACTCAAATATTGTGAATGAAGCCAAGCCATTAGCAAATACTCTACTGTTAATCATGAGTACCTGGGCAAAATATTAAATAAATATTTTGTAGCATGTGATACCCACATGCATTTTTGACCAAAAAACAGTAATACATTCATTTAATTTGAATGTTTTCTGTGTATCGCCCATTAACATACAAATCATTAACATAATGTCCCTAGACACATTCTGTATTCTGTCTGTATCTCAGGTGTACAACCATATAATATGTAATGCACTGACCCTATATCTAAGAATTTATTGACATCTATTATTGGATTTGTTCCTCCTATCAACAACAATGTCTTCAATTTGGGAATCCGTTTAACAAATTCTGATAATACTTCATCTATTTGTAGAGCTAGCTCCCTTGTAGGTGTGATGATTATAGCACCGATCTGTAAAATAATTTAGTCAGGGAATCAAGTGTAAAAAAAGGTAAAGACAACTCAAATACTAAAATTTGCTTTAATTCTTGGTACATTTGAATAAAGACGTATTAAAGTGACTTTGTCACTCTGCTCCACACATTGCATCATGGGAAACCGTTGACATAGAAGTGTTTGATCAGGTAAACATACAGTTGAGATTTATTAAACAACTACCGGGTAAATCATACATAGTGAATCTTTAATAATTTGTTTTGAAGATTTTTTTCCTTTTAAATATTGATGTAAAAAAATAAAACACAAAGTAGGAAATATCTAACCTCTCTTTTTTTAAGCCTTTCTGTTCTTTTTAGTAACAACTCCAATACAGGTATGAGAAATGCCAAGGTTTTACCACTTCCTGTTACCTAGACGATAGAGAAAAAAAAGATACTTTCTGCATACAATTAATTTTTACCGTAATCACACATGTGCCAAAAGCCTACTGTAGAATACTTTATTTTCGCTTGGAATTTATTTTCGCTATTTTCGCTGAAGGGATGATTCCGTGAAAATAAAATCTAGTGAATATACTTTTTTTCTTATATTTCACATTAAATTCATCAAAAATCAGTAAAAATAAGTTCCATACAAAACGCCCAAAAAGCCTTTTCAGCAAAAATTAATTCCAGCGAAAATAAAGTATTCACAGTATTTGAAGGCCAGCTTTATAGTTAACAAGATAAGCCGGTGTCACGCTGATTTAGTTTAAGCCGCCATAAAGAGGCAAGTCTTGACCAGCACCCTGAAACAGCTTTATGTATGTCCTCAATTTTAGCCTCACTCTGGAGTTCCGTTCACTGCAAATATTTTAAAGTAACAAGGCGGCTGATAGCAAGGCCGACTCAGTTGTACACAGGTCCAATTAAAACCACTGATAACGATTGTTACAAAGTTAGTCCCCTGTGGCACACATGTGAACATAGTATTATCGATTATCACATAAAAAAAAAAATTAATTAGCATCTTATCGTGTGCATCAGTGTTTTTTGCAATTTTATGCAAAATTAAAGTGGGAGGGTCGTCACCTGCAACGATAACAACACGGTAAAAATGCAAAGGCTCATGGGTAAATGACACGCTATGGCCATCGGACACATGTGCACGTGACGACTTCTCCGCTTTAAATACATCAAAAGAATACATCAAAGGCAATTACATGTACCTTGATGCTCAAGAAGCTTGAATTGGTGACTTGAAAAAATGAAGATTTTCTCCATGCTACTCCAATTCACTATTGCAATTTTATCAAATTTAGTCAAATAATTGCCTATTTAACTTGTAGCCCTGAAAACCTACTTTTTAGTCGTAATACTAAGCCACTGTCACCTTGCCCAAAACAAAACTGCATAATTGTTTCTTCCTTTTTTTTCAAAAATGTTGAAGAGAAACTTACTGCTTCAACGGCTACATCCTTGTTTCCCATAAAAGCTGGTATACAAGCAGCCTGTAAATAGAAGAATGATGTAACAAAGGAAATCATCACAGGCACAAACAAGAACAGACCCAGAATTTATACTTATACAGTACTAACAGAATCAATAATTTCCTAATGAAGTCTTCAATCTCAACAGTGGCTAACTTTTACATAGATGGTACATTTATATGAGGAACAGCAAATGTTATTTTTTGTTATGAATCTCAAGTGACTGTAATAGGAATTTCTCTGATATATCTGGAGGGCTCTGCTACAATGTCTGGCTATGCTGTGTGATGTTCATGTAGATCAGCATGGACAGGTTTCACATACTTTGTATGTAATATGCATGGTTATTAAGGATCAATTTTTGGGGGATGCCCAATGGTCGAGGGGAAAATGTGTCCTGACATGAAGCAAGGCGATTAGGTGATGCATGTGAACTCCGGTTTGAATCATCCATGTTGTTTACATGATTTGAGGCAGTATTTACCATTTTGTTTATTTGGTGTAATTTGGTAATTTATCATATTTTCTATATCAGAGGCTACTATGAGTTTATAAGATTATATCTCAGTACTGGTATATACATATGTTCTCCTTATATAAAATAGTTTACAGGCTTTGTTGAATGGTTATGTCAGTTTGAATACAGTCGGCCGGATTCTAACTTAGTCAGATAAAAATAGTCAAACTCGGGTAGTTGTAAGCGTGAAGTGGTGACAAAAAGACTATATGCCCAGCAATGCTACTGTTCTCTGACATGCTAATGATTTAAAAATATCCTGTGACTCTTGTCGATTTCAGTGACGCAAGTTCACAAAAAGACACAGACATTACATCGGAAACACAGACATTGGATTGGCGACAGTCTGGCTCTGCTATGTAAAAACAACACGAATAATGCTAGTCGCCCATGTATCGTACAGTATTTATTTTTTACCATGAGTACAGCACTGCTGCATCACTGAAATCAACAACATCATTCAGTATTTGTTTTACTTTGATATGACTGAAATCAACAACACTTGTAGGCCATTAACACAAACAAAAACTGGCTGACTTCAACCGCTGCCCGAGTTCGGCGGACCTGTCAGTTGTATTTTTAGTAAATCAATAAACTACTTGGCTGAGATCATTCACCAGGTATTTACTGCCACATACATTGTATTACTTGGAAGACTTTAGGCGATAAAAGCTGGGGGTATAAACTGTACCATTGCAAATGAATAGCGTAAATCTCAAAATGATTTTCACTAGAACGATCGAAAACGACTACAAGTTAAGTTTTACGAGGCTAAGACGCACTGCAGCACCTACCTGAA